TGTGTGATTAAAGTCTACTTGAAATCCAGATTGTTTGTTTACATCCTTAACAAAGGTTCATGTTTCAAATGTGCATAATAAACTAGTCATGCTGACGTCAACCAAGCCTACTTTTTTTTTTTAATGACAAATTCGTCAAACAAAAAAACCTGTTTTACACCCAGTTTCAATCAGTGCTGCATCATAATAGAGAAGAATGTGAATCTGAAAACAGTTCAGTCAAAAATTGAATTTCTGTCATCATTATTAATGCAATTTCAAATTGTTTTGACTGTGTTTTTTCCTAGGGTAAAAAGATTTAGTGGTTTGCTTTACACACAAAAATGAACATTAGCAGGGTGATTGGAGTTCAGTGTTGTTTTGAATCCCAGTGGGTTTATTATTTTTTTTTATTTTGGAATTTGGAATAATGTGAAGGTGGATGAATAACATAATTTTCATATTGAGGTGAATTATCAGATGAAGACTACACTAAAGTCAGGGAGACGTGCAAAAAAAAAACCCAACAAGCTAATTACTAAAAAATTAAACAACAAACAAAACACTTCTAAGGCTGTGTTTACACCAGATCCTATAATATATTTTTGTCCAATCACAAGGAGACAATGCTACAGGTCTTAAATGTTGCAAACTTGTCCAGTTTTGTCACAGATTGTATTCATAATGTAAACACTTTTGTGGCCTAACAGCCACAAAAGACTCTCAGCCGACAAAACATTGTTATGGGATCAAAAGAATCTCTTCAAACTTTGCTGCGCTGTCCCAAAACACAAATAACAATCAAAACTGTAGTTGCTATCCTCAAGCTGCATAACATCTATTCACTCATGCTTACCGAGCACTTCTGTGAAAGTGATATTGAGTGTGGTGAAATAAGGAGAGAAGGATCTTGATGAAATCCAAAACAAACAGTCAAAAGAGATCATTTGATTTTCTTGTTAAAACCAGGTGGAAACGGTAACACTTCCTGGCTGAACTACCGTGATCACTGAAAAGCCATGTTAATCCAAGGTGGAAAGAAAGTCTATGCTGTGTTCATACCAGACGTGACATGCGTGAATAAATCATGCTATTCGCCCATTAATAGATGCATGAACATATTGATTCACTTCACAATAGACAGGAATTTGCATCATGGACGGGTTTCCGTCTGCCTGATGACTCTAGTTTCATTGCTTAATGGCTAAAATGGATTTTCTTGAGAGAGTAACTGTGTTTTATGTGCTTTAGGAAGGCTGAGAACCAGCGTATATTTGTTCGACGCCGTGACTGAGTCCAATAGATTCTTTTAGAGGTGCACCCAGCTCTGAGTTCATAAACTCCTCCAGAAACTATACCTGGATGATGGAGGCTTTCAGCAGTGCTTCAGACTGAGCCGAGCCCTGTTTGATGAACTGTTGTCGGGACACAAACAAAAGGCACTATGTCATAATCACACCCATAATAGAGCAAGCTCCTGATTGGTTAACGTGGTGCAAATCTCTTCTAAAGTTCAGATATTTCAACTCAATTCAATTTCGAATGAGAATCGCACCACAGGATGTCTATTCGAGTATTTGCATCATCTTTACAAATAAATCACTCGCGCTTAATGATTATATAGGAGATATAGCCCTTTTTACAGTAATTTGCTGTAATCGTGCCACCTGCTGTAATTTCACAATAAAATTATGAATACAACATATTACTGTGAATTTTACAGTTAAATACTGTGAAGCTATACTAATGTAATTTACTGTGAAAAATTACAGTAACTTGTACAAACCTGGAAATTTTTTACTGTGTAGGTGTCTGATGTGAACGAACAACCACATTACAACCACATAAACATGAACTTTCCACTCAGTCTCATGATCACAGTTTAAAATGTAAAATGTTACACTAAAGTAGAAACACACACAAGGGCATAACAGAAGTTAAAAATAGCATGAGCATCTACTCCTACACCTCATGGGTTCATAACATTTCCTCATTTGATACGGCCTAGAGGGAGAAAGACTTATGTAGAAGTGGGCAGAGAGGCTGACTGAAACAAGCATTGAAAGCAAGGCAAAATTCTTTTAAGCCACTGATGGTTTAGAAAATTTTTGATAATTTTACATAATTACACTGTCAATATCTGCAGAAAATTGTTCATGGCTTGTTAAAAGAAGCCCTCATTTAAATTGTAGATGATTTTGACTTTGTCTCTGGCTGCTTGGGTAAATTCTATCACCCACCCACTTGTTAGGAGAAATAAATAAATAAATATAAAAACACACACCAACTCCAACACACAATATCACTCAAGAAACCATGACAACCTTTGCTGACAAAATGGGCTGGAGGCCGTTTGAAAGTGTTTGAGGGGGAAACAAGAAAAGAAACTGGCACAATAGTATTTGCATCTAAATCCATCACTCATTTCTAAACAGCAAAATGGCAGTGTGTTCACAAGACCTCAACATACTGTATCACCAGGGGCCATGGTATAGCTATTTTGTTTTTGCCTGAAAATGTTTAAGACTCTCTGAGGGATGATATCACCAAGAATCACAGGTTACAGCAAATAATCTTCTTTATTGTTCCACTTAAGATAAAAGAAGCCAACTACATCATGAATGGCTTGATTGTGAGAAAATTAACACCATCTTTTTACCATTTAACTACTCATACAAAAATGCTAGGGACTATATTGCGAAGATTCATGGAGTGTTAAGAATGATCCAAGCACAGATTGGTCGTAAGATAAGAACGTGTCCATCTGTGAGGAGAGAAGGGTTTTAACATCTAGCTCCTGCTTGATGAGAGTCCAATCATTCTCCTTGGCATCTGAGCCAATAGAGGCGATAATAATGACAACGGGCCGATTTAAACAAACTATAGTTCATCTCTGAGGTCTCTGGATGCATGTTGCCTGATTAATGTGTGAGTGTGATGATGAGATGGGCTGTGGGGTGATTAGAGAAGACTATGGAAGCTGCTAAAGCCTTATGACACGAGTGGAAGGTTAAGCCTCTGCTGACTTTAAGATTAGGTCAACCTCATGCATGAAGACCAAAGACTAGAGATCGAAAGCTAGTAGATGATAAAGGGTCACCAAGGATTTTGAGTGCGTGTCAGGTGACTCTTCGTACCCTTCAGGACGACGTGAAGTTGTGTTTGTTTTGTAAAAGCATCTTTTGCATCTCCTATAGTCACCTGGAGGCCAGCAGACAGAGCTTCTGGTATCTTATCTCAATCAGAGAGCTGTTAATCCATTCATGCCCTTCCTGCGCTCTCTCAGGCCTGTCTGTGCTCACTTAGGTCAGGCCAGATCGATAATGAGCGACAAGCTTCTGGCTCAACACAGATACTTGCTCTCTCTCTTTCTCTTGTGTTTATGGAAACAAGGGTGCACTCTGCCATTTAATCACTGTTTAAGAGACAATTCACCCCAAAATAAGATATTCACTAATTCTCCTATTTTAAAAAATGTTAAAAACCAGCAATGATTTGTCCTCCATAGTATTTATTTCTTTGTATGGATGTCAAAGGCTACCAGTTTCCAACACTCTTTGTAATATCAGGTTAAGAGAAAGATTACGGTTAAAAAAGAAAGTCATAAAAGTATGATAAGCAAACAGACATGTTTGGGTTAACTATACCTTTAATTTAACAGTGACATTATCAAAGGCTATCGACCTGACCCACAGATAACCACCATCCACCCCCCCAACAACCCTCCCCATTACCCCTATCTCACCCAAGACTGCAGTTCGGTCAAATTTCCTAAAGGATAAACAGCTCTCATTAATAGTTGAGCATGCTTTCACTTTTTTATTCAACATGAAATGCACATTTGAAGAAAGAGACTTCCCGCCCAACTTATAATTGTCATTCATATAGCCATATGCAGTTGGAGTCAGAATTATTAGCCCCCTTTGAATTTCTTTCTTCTTTTTTTAACTATTTCCCAAATGATGTTTAACAGAGCAAGGACATTTTCACAGTATGTCTGATAATATTTTTTTTCTTCTGGAGAAAGTCTTGTTTGTTTTATTTAGGCTAGAGTAAACTCAGTTTATAATTTTGTAAACACCATTTTAAGGACAAAATTATTAGCCCCTTTTAAGCTAGTCTACCGAACCTAACCTAACCTAACCCTAACCTGCCTAGTTAACTTAATTAACCTAGTTAAGCCTTTAAATGTCACTTTAAGCTGTTTAGAAGTGTCTTGAAAAATTTCTAGTCAAATATTTACTGTCATCATTGCAAAGATAAAATAAATTCATTATTAGAGATGAGTTATTAAAACTATTATGTTTAGAAATGTGTTTAAAAAAATATTCTCTCTGTTAAACAGAAATTGGGGAAAAAATAAACAAGTGGTCTAATAATTCAGGGGGGCAAATAATTCTGACTTCAACTGTATATGCCATTACATATCCATAATACACTGTCATATAGACCCTCAAAACAGTTGCTTTCTTTAACATTCAATATTAATAATAGATTTCTGCATATAAATGACACTGACTGAGGATTCGAGTTTTAACTATAAATTAGTCTCAAAAGATTTCCTTGGGTAAATTGGCTACTTTGAAAGCAGGTCTTCTGTTAATTTATTTTGCAAACCACTGACTGTTTTGCATTCATCTCAAGATTATGTGTAAATATAGCATCCTCTGAAAAAACGTTTACGATCTATAATAGTAAAACCGTGTGCAGTTACAAAACACCACTCCTGGTTCTTGTGTTGAGTTTGGGTTACAAAATTTGTAAATAGCTTCATAATATTACATTCATATACTCCCCCACCCCACCCAAATCATCATTACTATAGCTCAGATACAATATTATTATTATAGATTATAGATACATTATCAGACTAGTAAACGCACAGGGTGCTTTTTTCTTCCTCAAAATATCATTTGTATTATTACATTTGCTCCTGCTGTAGAAATGAATCACACAAGTAAACAGCATTATGCACACTTGAGTACAGATTGTGTCTACTCTACCCAGCACTGATGGCTTACCTGGCGCTGGTGTTACGGAGGATCACAAGGGCATCAGGAAAGCCATCCAAGTTGTAGTCTCCGAGGTGCAGGGTGATGGGAATTCGCAGTTCTTCCGAAGTGGGCTTTTCTGGAGCGGGCACAAAACCCCACACAGAATCCTTCCTCTTGAAGTCCATCAACACAGGCACCCACTGGAAATAAAGAAGATTATGCAGACACATGAGTGGACAAATACTTTCCTGAGAGATGCATTAAAACATCACAAATAAATGAACCTTGAATTTTTCCTAAATAAACATAAACAATTACAGATCCATAAAAAATTCTCATCTAATGTTACATTTTTGGTACCAATACTAACTTGAGAAACTAAAATGGAACGTTTAAGTACAGATATGCTCCATTTTATATGTTAATGCAACGGTGACAGCTTTGTACCTTTATTTCATGAGTAGACAGGGTCTAAATAAAAGAATTGTCACACCGGCTAATAGTCGTTCACAAATCTACCAACAAAGTAATGAACTTAATGAAACTTAATGAAAAAGGTAAAAGTAGAGTAAGGTTCCATTAGTTAAGGCTTATTAATATATTTACTAACATGACAATGTATCTGTTAGAGCAGTGATACCCAAAGTAGTTGGCCCAAAGTTGGCCCACTGTAACCTTTAAATTGTCCCACAATCCCATCTGAGAGGAGAGTAAGAATAACGGAGAGGGTTGGGGCGAATGCTTCACAGAGATCGTCATTTCTAATTTGGTGTAACCTTTTTTTTTTAACCTCTTTTGTTTTATTGCTGAGCTACAATAAAAGCAAACGGAAATTAAATGCTTCAATCAAAATGCTGTGAATGAGCTGAATTTTATTAAATCTGTCATTCGATGTATAGGGGACTATGCAGAAGATATCAGTGAGCAAATCAAGCCAAAAACTAGTGTAATACTGTTATAAATGGGATTGTTTGGTCACACTTTATTTTGATGGTCCGATTGTTGAATTTAAGTTAGGCTGTTAGGTTGGGGTTAGCGTACGCTGACATGTACTTGTAAAGTTTCTTATAGTCAGTTAAATGTTGAAGGAGCAGTATCAGCAGATATTAAGCAGACAGTCTACTAACACTTAAATGCACAATCAAAATAAAGTGCTACTGATTGTTTTGTTTTTATTGTAATAAGTTCATTATAAAAAGTAAAAAACAATACTGTATTAGTTAATATAAAGCAATGTTTTCTAGGCATTTTTAAATGTTAAATAATACTAAATATTATTAAATAAATTAGGAAATTACCCATGGCAACTATATTTACCTTTGGCCCACTAGCCATCAAGTTTGGTTTTTGGCTCTTCATAAAAAAAGTTCGGCCACCTCTGTATTAGAGTATTTACTGATCTTTGTTAACATTAGCTAATGGAGAACACAGTTGCTCATTGTTACGTTTTGCTAATTCACAGTGCATTTTCTAATGTTAACAAGCACAACATTTGGATTTTAACAATACTTTAGAAAATGTTTTGTTCATTCTTAATTCATGTTAGTAAATTTATTTGCATTAACTAATAAAACCTAATTGTGGAGTGTGACTAAAAAAGAAAAAAGGAAAAAAGAAAAACCTAACCGATAAACAAATGTTATATATATATATATAAACTTAAATTAATATAAAATGTTTAGTTTTTTTATGGGGGAACACTATCAATTAATGGAAATTTTCTGTTTTTAATTTACGATAAAGAGTCTGTGTAATAAGCTGACAGTACATTTCTTGTTTTTTTACGGATTTTTTTGTTTTTGTTTTTGAACTCACAGAGAATAAATCTGTGTGGATTAGTTACTGCAAGCTGAACCACTGAAAACACTGTTATCACGTCATTCATGTCAAAATATCATGTTATGCATCACATAATATTTATATCATTTCAACACCATCTTGGCAATTAGAAAAATCACAATAAACATTCTCAAGCTTTGTACGAAATAATCTAAAAAATTTACCAACCAACTAATGAGTAGAACTACTTCAAATACACACCAATGCCAATTTTGACTTGTGTTTGGCGCTTGACAAGTGTTCATTTTAGATCCTGGATGTGCTGTACACTAGCAGCCACTTTAGGTCTGTCTTTAAACCAGTGTCTGGTATGAGCCATACTTAATAAGTCATGTGGGGAAAAGAAAAATCAATTTGTGAACTGAACATAGTCACAGGAAAAAAAAAGAGCACACCAGGCAGAACGCAGCATTCTGGTCCTCTCGCTCTCTGGGTTCAGTCATTTGCACGTGCGTGTGGGGGAGGCAAAAACGCAGATGCTACAGGCCTCGCTCACTCATGAATGTAAAACAGAAAGCCAGGTGCATCTCTGCATGTTTGCATCCAAGGGGATACAGAGACAGGAGGAAGGCAGAGAGAGAGAGATGGCTAGAGAAATGTGGGGAGGGGAGATGGACACCAAGATGGAGTGCTGAAGAGAGAATGCTGGCAGAGCGTTCTGTAATGGCTGCTAATAAGGTTTTCTCCAGTACACAATGGGAATTAGCAATGCTGGAGACAACAAGGCAAAGAGAAAAAAAGAGAGGGTGTATTTGTGCATTTCTGCATTTGCACAAAATAACAACATCGCTAATATCTGCAAAACACAAACTAACTGATCTGTTCAGAGCTGAAAAGGAAAATAGAAATCAAGCTTGTGAGTCATGGTGTGCGCTGTTGGCCTAGTCGCCTCATTATGAGCAAATATAAGAGTCCTGCAATGTTTGTTTATATTGCGGCACATTTCCCGCTAAGTGTTTGACAGGTTATCGGGGACTATTGCAGTTGAACTGTGGTTGAAAAGCAGTTCAGACTGCTATTTTAGCTAAAAATAAAAGAAGACGTGAGAAATTATAAAGCATGCAAGATTAATAAAAGCAGTATTAACAGGCGATTAATAGCCAGTATTAATAGCTAATTGCAACTGAATTAAACATAAGTGATACAGTAAGTAACATTGAAATAATCAGAAACACAAGTGTTGAGAGACCACTTTAATTTTGGTTGCACTAATTTATTAAAAATTGAGCCCGTATTATAATTTTTTAAAATGAGCTTCCATGCACTGTGTAACAGAGCACTAAGTAAATGAAAACATCCAGCTGTGGATTAAATTTATAAGTGAATCATGTTTAAAACTATTGCTTCTTTAATGAAATAGTTGACTCGAAGTCGGATCTTAGGTTTGCATTTTTTTCCCTGAACACATATGATATGATAACTGAACAAATATAAACTGCTGGATCCGGTAAAACATGAACGCACCTTTCTTTTCAGACAGCAGAGCACGGGTGATTACAAGACTAATTATTACGCGAAAATGACGACAACTGACAGATGGAGATTTAACTGTGGGAGGTTATTTTTTACAACAATACCACTGTATAATCAAACTAGTGCTGTGCTTGTTCCTGTCATTTCTCTGATTTTTAATACAATAATCTATGCTGCAATGAGGGATCTGCCGGCTGTTTGCTTCGTCAGACTTTAACAGTTACTTTGTCAGTAACTGTTACAGTTCATATGGACCAGTTTCGTCTTTGCAAGTGTAATTAAAATTGTTGTCTTATTTTGTGTAGTTTGCAAAATATGTTTAATTGCGTGTTGTAACTTGTGAATGCTCCATGCGCCTTGTAATCACTTATCTATTATAGATCTATGCTTGTACTGTATCTCTCTCTCTCTGTATGGGCTATTCACATGTTGCATCCAAAATCACATTGAAAACCTGACGCGTCAACCTATCACAACAGACTGGGTCATCGGACCAATCACAGCAGATTAGCACATACAAAAGAGGGTTTGGGAATAAATTAATGGCTGAACAAATCATATGGGAGTCGTTGAGATAATTATTGTAGGTAAAAATAAATGCATATTATAAGACAATGAAAGTGTTTTTTGACCTTGCACGCATATCAGCCAGGAGACCCCAAAACCAAAATATGACATATTATAATGCAAAATAAAATAAAACAAATCTTTCAAGTAAAATAAAATTTTGTTATCATTTACTCATCCTTTACTTCATCCAAATCTGTTTGAGCTTGTCTTCTTCTGTTGAACACAAAGAAATAATGTTGGGGGGGATAAACCATTGATTCCATAGTCATTTTGCTCTTATATTTATGTTTATGGCTATTTTCTCACCCAACATTTTTCAGAACATCTTAATGTTTTGCAATAGAAAGACAATGCAGACACACAGCTTCAACCAGAAACACACAATTCAGTATGAATTGTCTGAAGAGTCTCATATAAAATCACACAGGAGAGAAGATGGCCAGCTGAGGTCATCATGAGAAGGAACTAAATATAATGAGAAGGAACCAATCTATAATAAGGAACCACGCTGCCTATCACAGTTATGCAGATGACACACAGATTTCCCTAGTCTTATCAGCTAATCAACACAGCCCACCTGACTCATTCTTCAATGCACTGATGAAATTAACAGCTGGATGAGACAAAACGTTCTTCAGTTAAATAAAGAGAAAGTAACTGAAATCACTAAAAACTATTTACTGCAATAGCATTGTGAAGTGTCTGAATGACTGCACTGCAATGTAGGTATTCTCGTTTTATATGCTTTGCAGTTTAGATTTTTTGAAAATCATCTTTTCTTAATTATTTCAATTGGTTTATTACAGTTTTTCTCAAATGCTAAAACACATTTCACAAACGTTTCCTCCACGTTCCCCAATGTCTAAACACAACATCCTTTTCTAAAGCTATATAAACACAACCACACCTTCTCGCTTTAAAACTGAAACCTTCACACCAAAGGAGCAGCTCGAAGCTTTCAAAAATGTAAACACTATACACATAATTACACACTACAGCAAAACAATCGAAAACACAATGCTCAATTTGTGAGAAGGTTCTTTGTTTCATAATTGCCAATGTATATATTTAGAAACTTTACAGTAACGGATCTTCTTAGATCTCTGCAGAGGATTGGGCATTTAGATTTGTGAGTTTCATATGAAGAGTATAAATCTATAGAAGATACCTTATGTACACTACTGTAACACAACTCAATGCAAAAACAAAATCTATTGCACACAAGAGTACTCTTGAAAACATGATCAGGGTGTGAAGTTTTTTTATTTACTTTATTCACACCACACACACACAAAAACCACAATCACTGTGTGCCATC